ACGAAGAATCTGGACTTGTTAAATGTGACACAAATGTCTCTAAGCAGAAAAGATGGGCATGCATCTATTTACTATCTGGGGCCTAATAACACGATAGCCGCATTGCAGCGGGAAGATTGCAGCCATTGGTGCTTACCTGGTGTCCCTGATTCTTGGAATGAGATTCTTTACGCGCTTTTGCTTAAGCGGGAGACAAATCGCACTGTCTATACAAATGAAGATGTGAAGTCAAATTCATAGGATCGGTGTGGCGGATAAATGTGAGAAGTTTGCCGGGACTTCCATGCGGAGCTGCACCAGAATTTTCCAATCCCAGTCACGTTGCTTCCTTCGTTATGATTGCCTGATTCTCTTTATTGTGATCTGCCGTTGCAAGTCATTATGAACTTCTGCACCAATTGATCAGCGTGGCCCGGACCGTGGATTTCATGTGTCGGGTGAATGTTGGGGACTCCACCAAGGATGAATTTGCAGACAAACTTGACGGATGAGAGAAGGCGTATACGGCGCCGGATTTTTTTTTTTTCACAACTTTTTGGAATTTGTAAATCATCAAAACCGTCGAAGTATGCAAGCCGATTCCTTCGTACTTTAGGTTTGTATGTGATATATAGAAAGAGTACGGTTTGTATGCCCAATTGTTTTAATATATATATATATATATATTATAAACGCGCGCACAGACTCGCCAGTAATTCCCAGCATATTTTCTTGAGTAGAAAACGGATCCCCCTTGCCTGGAAAAATTCTGCAACAATGGAGAAATGTGTCTTGCCATTGAATTATGCGAGGCTTTGGTAACATGAGCAGCGTCGTCCGGCTGAACAGAGTTCTGCACTGCGCCTTGCGGCAAAGTTGCCCCCTTTTCCACTTCAAAATTCGTACTTGTTTCGTTACGTTGCGCAAATTATAAAACGATGAATAGTACCTGTTCAGTCCATTTAAATACATACGCTTGCCTGCCTGTGGGCGCCAGACGACTTGATGTTTCTTTGCTTTGTTGGTTTAATCTGGTTCCCGCTTACGGTAATTTTGCTTGATTTTCTCTAGCTGCTTTGTTGGGAGAGAGCATTAAACGGGTAACTTTCTGCCTTTCAGCTTCAAGGATTTTAATTCTCACCATATCGTCGCTCTCTATATTTACTTGTCTAGGAGTTAGACCAATCAATGGTTTTCAAGATTATCAAAACAGCGCTATGAATTCCGATATCGCACATACCGTTTTATTGCATGCAGCCGATGATATTAAACCAGACTATTGTCATAGAAGTGCACGGGCAGCCGAGCCACACGGGGCTCTAATCGTCGAATGGGTATTGCTCATACCCGATCTACAATCATGGAGCACCGCGCGCGCCCCTTTGCACTTCCGACATTCTCCAAACATGGCCGTCTTAGCAACACCAATACATGTTTTGCACTCAGAGGATATCAGATTAGGATTGCAAGCAGCATGTCCATAGGCGAAGGCATTAGGATAAGGAGAAATGTTGTAGTACTCACGATCTTGCCGTGTCGCAGTGACAGCCTCCAAATCACGAACAACGTAAGCCAAACTAATAGCAAATGGATCACCTGACATATACTTCTCCTCGTTGCAGGTAATGTTGGCCACACCCTCCACGATACTCCACACAGAAACCATAGTAATCACAATTCCTGTCAATTTTGGAGGGCCACCAACTTCATTATTTCCCAGCACAATCGGTTTCTTCGTCTCGTTCAGGAACGGGGTTTCGTAGACTTTCGTTCCTTTTTTCCCGGATTACGTAATTGAAGTAGGATATAGTGATCCTTTGCCAGGCTGTTTTATCTTGAACCAAATCCTCTGGCAGTAAATGCTGAGAAACTTGCGAAAGAAACCAAGGGGAGAACATGTGACTGAGTGGTGTGAATCCATTTCCCCTCTTTATTCTTTTTCCTAAATTTCTCTTTATTTATCCTGAAGGATTTTAAATTTATTCTACACAATATAAAACATTTTGATTCGAACACGATCCATACCCATTTATGAATATGTAAAGCTTGAGAAATCAATTCTGTCCATTCAAGCAAAGAAAAAAAAGATTCTGTTTATCAAGAAAAAATGTAAATTAGTGTTTTCTAAAAAAAAATTTAAATATAGTTTTTAGGGTAACATGCAAAGAGGCCTTAGTGCTTGGTGGGTGGCATTGTTTTTTTCGAATGACAAAAGGCTACTGTGGCCCAAAAGGCTCCGCCTAGAGTCATGAGTCAGCCATCTGGCACTGCGAGAATTAAACCAACGCCACTGGGGAAAATTACCCCCCGGTCCCCGTCGCCCTTTTTCTTTGCTTTTGAGGCAAGTGACGCCAAAATCTGTTGCCATCTTTCAAGAATTATGACTATGAATATACTAATATGAACATCAGTTGCAATTCGAATTCATCAGACTGTCTTTATAAGCGTTAATCTAGGCGCGTGTGCCAGAGAGTTTTGAGTTTTCAATCCTTTCTAATAAAAATAATAAATTATAGTTCTTAATAGACTCAATTGTTGAGTTGATTTGGTCTTAAATATAAGATTTATTTATTATATTTATCAGTTTTATTTAAATTATCCCTATGGATACTCTTTCAACCATAATCAATTAGAAGAGGAAAAAGAGATCTTAAGAAAGATGATTATGATGTTTTAGGAAAAATATGTCATGTCTTATAATTAACTACTTACCTAACTTTTTTAATCTAGTCAAATTAATTAAATAGGTCTTATATTAAGGACCAGAGGAGTATACGTAGTATTGTCAATTCTTTGTTTTGGGTATAATTTACAATTGGGAATGTATTACTTGTAGTAGCTTGTGCAAATGAAGTTCCGGTGTCCTGTAAACTACGGCGAAGAAAGAAGTTACCAAGGGATTAAGCTACTAATTGTCAGCGGGTGTTAATAGTTTGTTCCAACGAAAAATCATCTATAAATCGCATTAAATGCAAATAATCTATCCGAATTTCACTTAATATTGACAGGTCCCAAATATTTAATAATATTTCCGATCCTAATTATAAGACCTCTTTTGTAATCTACAAATAGAGTCTTATAAATAGGACGCGGGTGTTAATATTTAAAATCTTGACCTGTAATAAATATATTTATTCCGCTTATAATGTTTAAAAAGTAGCAAGAACACTTAAAGGGAGGGTAAGCGTGAAGCCCTTTTTTGAAGGCCTGAACCTTTGCTGAGAAGATGATTTGTGTGAGAATAGTATAGCAGCAACGCTGGAAGGATGGACATTAAGATGTAAAAAGAGGGGGACTTAGATTAGAATTGAGATGACGTTCTTAAATAAGTAAACCAACAAATTGCGCGGACATAGCAGGTGGTCAGGCGGCTCATCATAATTTTCAAGTTCACATTTTTAGCGATATAAGGACATTGCATGCGAGCATTCACCTAATTTCACTACTCCTCGTGTGTGGCTCCTTATTAATTTATTTTTACAGTGTAGTGGGAGAGAGAGCCGCAGATTTTAAATGTGCAAATAGGGGTGGGGCGACGAGGACGGGACGATAGGGAGCAAAGAGGCAACAGGATTGATCAGCCGATGCAACTGAAAGTCAAACATCCAAGGGCGCATCTCGCCCTCTTTCTTCTTTTTCTTACACCAGTAAGCCAACACATATTTTTTGCTTCCTACTTTCCATTCTTACACGTTATTTAATGTTAAGCTCTTGGCCTCGTGTTGTGTGTATGAAGCTAATTACAGAGAGAAGGGATTTTTGGAGGGAGAATACAGAACGGTCAGGCCTTTCTCAAATCAAATAAAAATATAAAATATTTAAAATTACTCGTCAAATCTCAACTATTCATAACACATAACTAAAAATATGAAAATTATGACATGTACTACAAACTAATAACTTGAGTCATAATTTTAGTAATAGGGGAGATAATAGTGAAAATACAAAACATTACTCCCTCATGTTCTTATTATGAGTTTCAAACAACTAATTCACAAATAACAAATAATAAGATAAAATTAGTTAAAAGTAATAAATAGGTTAAAAATATATTTTTGTTTTCAAATATGCTCTTGTAATAAATGAGAAAAAAGAGAAAGAATGTGTGAAAAAATGTGATAAGAAAGATTATGACAAGAGAAAGAATAAATAATTCGTGATAAAATAAAATAATATATATTAATATTAAGACAAATATACTTTCTTCTAATTTAAAGCTTATAAATATGACCGGAGGGAGTAACATACTAAATTTAAACTTTTAAAGGATTATAGGGTGATATGCAACTAATTTAAAGTTTAATAAAATTTAGTATATTTTGATTGTTTATTATTGTGCATCGGACGTCCCCGACGGGACTATTTATTATTGTATACGGTACTAAACATTAATGCGTGGGAGTGGGTGGAGAGCGTAAGAGCAGCAGCAATAAGGATGAGGGTAGGAGGGTAATTATCACGGTAAACTGGAGGCCTAAATGGGGGAGCGGCACGGGGGCTGTGGGGAAGGAAGGGAGGGGATGAAAAAGTAAGTGAAAAGCAAGGCCTGGTCTGCGGCTAGACAGCTGCCACCTAATGCTGCCCTTCCCCCACTCTCATGAACCCCAAAACCCACACCCACGCGCCCTCCCTCTCTCCCACAACTACCAAATCAGCGCTCCGCCCTTACTTCTCTCTCTCTCTCTATATATATATATACACACACGCATATATGCACATATATAAAACCCGCGAACTGTCTGGTAGACCAACCAGTCAATTACCCCCCAAGTCTCCTGCTCTCATAACCCTATTTCCGTTTATCTACCAATTAACAAACCTTCTTCTCATCACTTTCCTCAGCTTTCAAATGTGGTTTTCTTGGATATCTCCCGCATCCACCTCAAAGTCATACCCCTTCCTGACGTATATCTCCCCTATCTGTGGGTCTTTCTTTCTTCCCCGACCATCCCTTCCCCCCTCTCTCTTCCTTTGTTCCTTACCTTCTCTTCCCTCCCCCTTCCGCTTTTATATGCGCCCCTCAAATAGAGTTGATTTTCAGTTCCCATGATGATTCACCCACTTCTCTATTCACCTTTCATGCAAACCCACTTCTCCGTTTTCCCCTCCCTTTTCGATCCCTTCATGATTCACCTTTAAATATAATCTCTTCACCACCTGCCATTCAGCTGCCTTGTTCCCAAACAATGGCTGCGCCTCTCACAGCCAGGCTTCAAACTCTCCTGCAAGCCACGGTGCAATCGGTTCAGTGGACTTATAGTCTCTTCTGGCAACCCTGTCCCCAACAAGGGTACTTCTTCATTCTCCCACAATAACATGCATCCCTTCGTTAATCAGTCATCGCTTCATCAATCTTCTACAGTTCCTAATTATAATACTTGTAGCAGCTTAATTATGATTTATTAAAATTGAGAGTTTATTTTTTTGATTTGGTTAATCAAGGATCCTGGTGTGGGCGGATGGTTACTACAATGGGGCAATTAAGACCCGGAAAACTGTGCAGCCAGTGGAAGTTAGTGCCGAGGAAGCGTCTCTTCAAAGAAGCCAGCAACTTAGGGAGCTCTACGAATCATTGTCTGCCGGGGAGACCAACCCTCCGGCTCGACGGCCTTGTGCTGCCTTGTCGCCCGAGGACCTAACCGAATCCGAATGGTTTTATCTGATGTGTGTCTCTTTCTCCTTTCCTCCTGGCGTCGGGTACGTATGTCCTCCACAATTTCACTTGCTAGCTAGCTATAAGCTCTATCAAAATCATTAATTAGTTAAGCTTCAACGCCATTTCTAGCTTTAACTATTATTTATTTAAAGAACTAGCTCCAGCTGCGAGAAAAATTTATCTGATGAGGCCGAGAGTGTGTTGGGAGCTTGAATGCAGCAATAATAACAGCAATTAAGATAGTGGCAGCAAGAAATAATTAAGCCGTACGCACGAGTAGAAATTTCCGCAATATAATTTAGTAATTTACTCAATGTTTCTCTGGAATTTGTTGTGGCGGAAGTATCCATGTCCCCCATTAAGAAAGGAAATTCGGTGAAGCAGCAGAAAATTTCATGTAACATCAATAAGAAACAAGACACAGTACAAGCTCAAAAAAGCTGGCCGTATAGCTAGTCTCAAATTTTCTCTGGTAATAAGATAGCTGAGAGTCTTTATGCGTTTGTCCTAGCGAGATTCGAGAGTTTGTAAAGATTCCACAGGAGAAAGTTGATCCATGTGACGACCTTGATGTAGGTAGAGTTAGCTAATTATAACGCAATGGGGGAATAAATTTGGGAGGATTGTGTGCAAAAACATTTTGCCCGGCCGGCTGGTCAAGTGATTAGTTGCGCATTATATGCCTGAATACGACGGGTGCTATCCGCAATCTGCTTCTTCGAGAAACCAGACAAGATAATGTGTTCATTATTCAAACTGCCAAAAAGCTGCCACTACTTGCTACCATTCTGCATTAGGAAGCTTCCCCAATCCCAACGCTCGATCCATTTCTCTCTCACACCTTCTTTGTTTCTAGTTTCTTCGACTATGTTAGGGCTCACGGCTTCGATCATATGTCCGGCCGTCAATAGCTGTTTCTAATAGTTGCCTGGTTCCTCTATATATAGGTTATCTGTACCCACGTGCCTGCTCACTACCAGAAGTTAACCCTTTCGATTCTTGATCATGCAAGAGATAGGCTGACGGTTCAACTAGTTATTGGCGAGACATCTGTTATAGGTAGATATATAGTACACTCTTATGCATACACATGTACACTCACACAATCTACAAGAAGTACTTAGGAATCTGAGACTCGTTTTATCTACCCGCGCTATTTTGGAGGATAAAAAAACCGAAAGAAACTAAAATTGAGAGCATGTGGTGGGTGTGTGGGGTGCTGGATTGGGATCTTAGGGCATCAAATATCTGCAATTTATAATGGAGTTACTGCCCATACATTAATAGCAATGTAAATTGTTTCTCAGGTTATAATTTATATCATTAGTTAAATATGAAGTTTTGCAATTTGCAATGAGATGTTCGAGACGTGTATAGCTAGAGAAACTAAAAATGGTGCACGCTAAAAAGAAAAATATTAAGGGGTTCGCTTTAATTTAACGATGAATGGCAACTTCTATAGGCTACCGGGGAAAGCATATGCGAGGAGGCAGCACGTATGGCTTGCCGGTGCAAACGAGGTGGACAGCAAAACGTTTTCAAGAGCTATTCTTGCCAAGGTGCTTCCACCACCATTTTAACACTAATTATTGTCATTAATTCATGCATTAATTATTTCCACGCCTCGTGGTGGACTGCTTTGGTTTCCATTTGAACGTTTAGCATAATATTTAATCGATAATTTATTTGGAATGTATAAATATATGATCAACAGCTTTTTACTAACCACCTCCTTATTATCTCTGTGATCCCTTGTCACTACACGTCAATGATTCGAAATTTCTTGCCCGGCCAGAGTGCTCGCATACAGGTAAGAATGTAACCTGCAATTTCAGACTACCTAGCTAATTCACAGACAAATTTTGACAATGTTATGCGTATATGTGCGCCATGCAAACTACAGACCGTGGTGTGCATACCTCTGTTGGACGGCGTCGTAGAGTTGGGCACAACAGATAAGGTAACACACACATATATAGTGATTTCCTTCTAATCTTGCTGGTTTCCGTTGAACAAATTAATCGTACGTGTCTTTGTGAGTGAGGACGCCAGGGTGTGCTTTAATATATTTGTGTACGTCACAGGTTCTGGAAGACCTTAATTTTATCCAACACGTGAAAAGCTTCTTCACAGATCACCAGCGGCAGCACCACCCCTCCACCGCCAAAGCCCGCCCTCTCCGAGCACTCGAC